GCCCAGCAGCGGGTTTGGCTCTGGGCATGGGCGGGAGGAAGGGGGCGCGGAGGGGGGTTGTTCATCCTGCTGAGACCCGGGGCCCTAAGGAAGGGTTTGCCCTCTGCTTTGTAAAAGGTAGGGCAGGAGTTGAAATAAGGCCTCTTTTTTCCTATAGTGGAGGGCAGAGAGGTCTTGGAAGGCAGGGCCCCCTCTGAGGGTGCACTTTCTTGCTTCCTGCCCCCGTCCAAAAGGATGGTGCGTTATAACAATGCAAGTCTGGCTTTGAAGGCTTAAGGGCTCAGTGAGTGAGCAGAGGCCTGAGCAAAAATTGTGAGCTTCTGAGGTCTAATAAGGTACATAGCTGCCAAACGAGTAATCAGCAATTCTGAAACATTTTCCCGGGTACTGAGAGCCTGTTAGGAAAATCTCATTCCCAAAGTATTACACCAATGAGTCTTTATAGTATGAAATCATATTAACTTTGTTAAGATACATATATATATAGTTCACGCTGTATGCTGAATAGTAATGCATAAGCAAGAAAACTAAAGTACCCCAGCTCATTACAAGGAGGAGAAGGACAGACCCCACTGAATAGTCATGCTTAAGCAAGAAAACTAAAGTACCCTAGCTCATTACAAGGAGGAGAAGGACAGACCCCCTTGAAATAGGGACATTTGCTCCACTGAATCTTAAAGCTGCCCATAAAGGATAGCCCCAGATAACCAAGGTAGCGTCAGCATCCTAGCTTCTCTAACACCACTGTGAAACTATCCCATTTCCTGGAATTGTAGATAAGTATATCAAGACTGACTCCAGGGATGTCTAGGCCCATAGAGAAGCAGGTGGATGATGATGCCATAGAAATATAGTTTCTTTGCAAATGGTAGTGTGTGTGTTTTAAGTAGCAAATCATGTTGTACCTGAATGCTTGAAAAGTATGAGAACCGTGTGTAAAACCACATTCCAGGTGCCTCAGTTTGAATGAGACGCCTCATGTGCATGAATAGAAGGATTACTTTTGTAATTCTATACTGTGGGTCCTAGCCTCCCTCCTTGGTCAGTGTGGGCCAGTTGTGAATTTTTGTAACAAGCCCTTGGATAAATGGGCCAATGCGAAATTTCTCTATTTAGTTAAAGTAACCAATTGGTTGCAGAGGTGGTCACTTAAGTGAGAAACATGCAGTACATTCTCCCTGAACATGCAAACACAGGAGTGTGACTATTTCTGGTACTGCTGGCTCTGCATTACCACTCTTCAGAGCTCTTCAGGTGGCTGTGGATTTGAGAAGCAATGGAAATGTAGTAAGTGACATCAGAGATGCTTCTTAGAAAAGCGTATTCTCTTGTTGACAAAATGATACACAAAATATGTTTGTCTCCATCCTTAGCATAACTACAGCCTAAAAACCTGCAAACTGCGAGAATATTAATACGTAGTGCATGTTGGGGTAAGAATATTTTCCTGGAACATGCAGCTGAAAAAGGCAGCATTATTTACTGAGTAGATAGTAAGAGAAGAGCAAACACTAGAATGGTGTATGTATGTAAAACACACAGCAGAGGCTTAATGTCTGAAAATTATTATTAGCAGGTGTCACAGTGAGTACCCAATGATTCAAGTTCCCTGTAGATGGCAAATGTTTTCCTTTAAACTTTATATAGTAACAGTTTTTGCATGAAACATTTTATTTGTGTGTTCTATTAATTAAATGATATGCTAGGCTATTTACAATTTGCTCCTGCCCAAATGTCAGCAGTACTGTAGTATGGCTATATGAATGGGTTCTTTGTTCTGACTTTTCACTAGGTACTTTGCTGGAATATGGGACACTTATAGTGTCATATTAAGTTTGGGGACACCAGCACCAAAATCCCAAGGCAAGATGTACTCGGGGATTTGGCCAGTGAAGTCCTGGAGTGGAATCTTTGGCTCTGAATTAGACACATGCCCTACCCAATAAGTTAAGACAGTTAAATACTTAAGATTAGGTTTTGCAGCGGCCAAACTGCTAAAAGGGAGCATGTCTTAAAATATCTGAGGAAGTTTTGAAGGGAGGGTTGAATCTTAAGTTTGTTTCTTCTCTGAAATTTAAGCATCCAACTGCTGACAACAGAGAGGTGTCGGTTTTGGTTTCACAGGCTGAAACCGCTGCTTCAAGTTTGCACCTGGAGTGCACTTTAAAAAAAAAAAAGTGTACGCTAATAATATTTTTCCTTGGCCAAAAGGAAGAGGAGAAAACTGCAGGCTTTTATTCAATGGTCTAGCTTTTTGAAGACTTGCTCATGATAAGGCTGTTTATTTTCCTCTGACTGAGGACTAATCACATGGGTGTTTCACATTTGTGAGTTAAGTGCCCTAACCTTCAAGTACTTTAGCAAGGTGTTTGATGGAACTTTATAGGAAGGTGAAGTTTGTAGGTTTGCATCCTGATCAGGTTTCCCACGTAAGGATGGATGTTGCTTATCCTTTTTCCAGACTCCTCCCCTCTTTAAATTGTTTTTTAGTGACAGGTATGGTTGCTGTGAGTGTGTAGAGTGTGATTCTACAGATGTGTGCTAGGCATGTTCTGGGTTTGTCTACATGCAGGAATTTAGATAGAGTGCCTACACATAGGTAGTTGTCAAGCTGCTCAAAACTTGAAATCTTTGAAGAATTTAAAAATTTAGGGGCTTTTGAAATTTGGGGTTTTGAGGATCACACCTTTAAATTTAGCTACTGATATTTTGCCCTGCTGCCCACTTCAGAGGCTCTGTTACTGACTTTACCAGAATTCTACCAGAATTCTTTATAGGATGGGGTCTGGAATCCATATCTTCCAGTAACTGGATCAGTTACTCTAATGTGTTTGGTCTGAAGTAATGTGCTTCAGTTTTGCGTGGAAAAGAAAGTTAATTTGTATTTGCAAACTAGCTGCATGCATTATAAAACAAATGTGTTTATCTTGCTTTGCTTTTTCAGAATATGTTCTCATATAGAAATTGTTGACTTGGGACTCTTTTTTTTTTTTTTTCTCCTTTTTCTTCTAAGGTTTGGTAGTCAACTGGTCAGGTCAAGGATTGCAAAAACTGGGTCCAACCTTACCCTGTGATGCTGATACTCACACTCTGATACTGGACAAAAACCAGATAATTAAATTGGAACACTTGGAGAAATGCAGGAATCTGATGCAGGTCAGTGTTACCTGACTTGAATTTGCTATGAAATAATGGTACTGTGATGCCAGTTAAAATACTTCTGCTTTAAGGCCATAATATGTTATTGAAATAAGTTATAACTTACTGTCTTCACAGGAAGATAAACAATGGCTAACTAAAATAGAAAGCTTTGTTTTCAGTGTAGCTCTGCAGTTGACAGTGGGAGAGGCTGTTTTGCTGGTTACCTAGGTAACTAAAAATGAACTAAATAAATTCTGATGGGGGAAGGGGAGATCATGAGAACACTTAGAAAAGTCACTGATAAGCCAAATTTTGATACTTGATAGCTTTTGAATGCTTGAGCTTTGTAACCTTAAAATTAACTTTGTTTTACCTTTCCTCTGTGTGATTGTAAACATGCAGACTTACATACAGGACTCTAGTCTGCATTTGGGTTTCAGAACTCTTCACAGAGGAAGCAGATTAGTAGCCTTAATTTACAGGGAAGAAAAAAAAGAAAGCCATGGGGATTAGCTTAAAATAGAAATAGCAGATTAAAAAAAGTTAAGTGGGAGGGATCTATGTAGTCTTGTTAACATATCGATTCATGGAGGCCCTGATGGTGCTAGTACTTACCCTTAATTTTAATACTAGCAGCAGTCCGTTTAAGTTCATGAGGCTATTAGTGATAACAATGTTAAGCCTGTGCATGGTGCTTGCAAAAATCAGAGTATTAATGCCTCCAGGACAAAGCTGTACAAGTCCGTGTTAATTATTGCTGAAAGTGCCTCCAGATAGACTTGAAGCCACCAAAGAGCTTCTAGAGACAGGCTAAATTGAGACAGAAGAGGTGGTTTCTACAACAAACCTTCACCAGTCTGCCAGCTTGGTAGTCATGTTATTACTGTGTATGTCTAATGAGGATTTATCCTTTAAAAAGCTTGTGATTTATGGGCCTGTTAGCATTGGACCTTTTTGAGAATCATGTGAAATATATTTTGTCCTCTGCCATATTGATAGTAAGTATGATTTTTACACCAGGAATGGTGCAACAATTTGCACAATGATTTGGCAATTCTGATTTTAAAATCTTACTTTCATATGACACGATTCCTCATTCATTATCCTTTATTTGGCTGTTGCTAGGAGGATTTCCTCTTAAGTTTGCAGAGTGAGTTGGGAAGACTACTTTCTTTGATCAGTAACTTATTTCCTGGCTCTTGCAGTTTTTTGTATCTGTGTTACTTGCTTGGAAATGGAATATGTAGATTGAAGAAGTTCCTGTTGGATTAGATTTTTAACCACTAAAAATAAAAGCCTATTCTGTCTGTACAGTGTAATAGTTAAAACTGTTTCTTTTGTATGTCAATCTGCAGCTCTCTGTAGCCAACAATCGTTTGGTGCGAATGATGGGTGTAGCAAAACTGACTAAGCTCCGGGTGCTAAACTTGCCTCATAATAGTATTGGGTATGTGGAAGGGCTGAAGGATTTGGTGCACCTGGAATGGCTGAACTTGGCAGGAAATAACCTTAAGGTAAAGTATTTAGTCTTCATAAAATTTCCAGAATCTAGTGTTGTAGAAATTTGGAAAATGCTGCAAAGAAGTCTCAATATGTTTCTGGTTTTGATTGGAACAAACGCTGAAGTTTTGCATTTACTGGTTTGTGAAATAGAAGAGGGAAATTCTTCTGGACAAGAATTTTCTAGGAAAAAAATAAAAGGTTTGATATCAAAATGTAACAAGAATTGGGAAATAGTCTCCAAAATAGGAAAAGAATTATCATATTTAAAATGAAACCATGTAAAAACATGGGCTTTGTTTTGGGTTACTTATCCAGTGTTTTTTAGCTTTCAAAACAATTTATAATCATTGATATCTAGTTTTATTTAATGACTGAGGAAGAGTTACTGTGAGTAATTAACTTCTTTATTTTTGTAGGCCATTGAACAAATCAATTCCTGTCTATCCCTTCAGCATCTTGATTTGTCAGACAATAACATAGCTCAATTAGGCGATCTCTCCAAGCTTACGTCGCTGAAGGTAGATGCTATTTTATCTCTGATTTTGTTACATTCTTTGCATAAAGAAATCTGCTTTGAAAATTGCTGCCTTTTAAAGCATTCATTATTCATACATTAGCTCTTAAAGTATTTTAATTAATCACTATAATTTCTGGAGGAAAATGTGTAAGAATTCTTTTCCTTGTTCTCAAGTTGTAGGAACTGAGGCAGTGCTTTTTCTATAACCATTCTAATGAGTTTGACAAAGATAACATGGTGAGATCTTGTTCATAGCTCTCGATTCTCTTGTCTCATGTCATGAATCAAAACAAAATACAGTGTTAACTCTTTCAGCATGAACACTGCAGAGAAAAAAATGTTTCTAAATATGTTTTTTGTAACCGTGACTACAGTTCTGCATTTTAAAATGCAAAGATTTTGCTCTAAAATATAAAAATTAGTTTTCCCTTCTGCAATAAATAAAAATAATTTTGATGATATCAGAAAGCCTCAATTATAGTTCTTTTGTGTATATTGTGCAGGTATTGCCTGAACAAAAAATGTGAGGATTTTGATCAAACGTACATTTCATCACTGCATTTTTATTTTATAGACTCTCTTGCTACATGGAAATATTATAACTTCACTTCGCACTGCCCCTGTTTGCCTACCTCAGAATCTGACTGTTTTTTCTTTGGCAGAAAATGAAATCAGAGACTTAAATGAGGTAAGATATAGAAGATACATCACCTTGTCTTTAGGTAGACTGAAAGCAGCTAATTGGATAATTCTTTTGAGGATGTGACTGAAAATGGGCTCTGCTCTTTAAAACAACCCATGTTGATAGAAGTAACTTTTAATAGTTTATATGTAATACCTATACTTGCATTAGTTGCACAAGCCTTGCATTAGATTTGTTGCACTATACTTGCATTAGATGCCTTTTACAATTTGTCCTTGAAGGAAACTTTGCCTTTTTTATTTTATGTTTTTATATTAGTCAAGGATGTCAGAAGTATGCTTTAAGGACTAAAATTCATAGAGAGCTTTTCATGATTGAAGGTTGAAAGCTGAGCTGATTAGCTGCTGCAGAGGGCTTCTGCAGCTGCTGTGTTTAGAACAGAGGTTTGAATTGTGCTTGTTGCAACTAAACACTTTTGGGCCCGTGCCTTATTTTATCTATTTCTCAAATGATATATGAAAGAAATAAATATTCTACCTGTGACTTTTGTCTCTATTTTTGGTGTGGTTTGGTTTGGTTTTGTTTGGTTTTTTTAATATAAGTAGCAGCCAAAACTATCAGTTTGACTTCCATGTTGGAAGGAAAATCTTATTTTGGTAATACATTTTTCTTCAAAGCCGGACAGTGTTTCTCCAGCTTTTTGGCTTGCCTTTTTTTTTGGTCAAAATCTCAAAGCTTGTTGTAGTGAACTGGAATCTTAGAAATACGATACTTTTCTATACATAAAGCCTCATTCCCAGATTTCAAGAGAAGGTAATACTTTCTAAGGGCTGTAGTTATTACAGGAGAATTGATGGGAAAATGGCAGCAGTTGATAGAAGGTCTTTTGAAGATGCTCATGTTCAAAAAGCAAATGTGATTTTCATTGTACTTGTAATTATTTGTGTGAGATGTCTATTTGTAACTAGGAGAAGTGTGGTGTGTTCTGTAAGCATTTAATGGGTTCTGTTCAGTTAACAAATATATCTTGTTTTCTCAAGGTTTCTTTCCTGGCCTCTCTTCGTCAATTGGAACAGTTGTCCATTATGAACAATCCTTGTGTGATGGCCACACCTTCCATCCCTGGCTTTGACTACAGGCCGTATATTGTCAGCTGGTGTCTGAACCTTAAAGTTCTTGATGGATATGTGATTTCTCAGAAGGAGAGGTAACATAGTAGTATTAAATCTCTGAAATTATTAAATAAAGTTTGGCTAAGCTGAAATTGCATTTTTAGATAATAAAAAAATGGAAAAGTGTTAATGATCTGAAATTCTCTTTGTCTTGGTAATGGCCATATGAGATAGAGGCCAATTAGCAGTGTTACTTTTGCTAAATTTTTCATCTGCTACACTGGAATTATTATGTAAGATCACAAGTTTATTTAAGTAGAAATATAAAGTTAAGTTTCTGTTTTGTTACTCAACTCACAGTAGCACTTCTACAAAGCAGCAGCAAAGACTGTGGTAGCAATTTATCAATTGCCTATTATCCCTTCCAAGCTTACAGCCCGTTTGACTTTGCAGAGTGAGACAATCAGCAGATATTAAAGCTATTGTCTTGGGGACAGCTCAAACGTGCCCTTTTATAAAGGGCTTGACTTGCATGTGCATTTCTAGATCTGGCATTTTTTTGTATTAGTCAAATATTATTTTAGTCAAATCACTTGTATCATTGTGGTCATTCTATCACTATGATATCTGTATGACAATAGAGATGTCTTCTTAAAGTACTCTATATCAGAACAGTCCAAGCATAAACATTATCCAGTATAAACACATTCTAGTCCAATACGTTAACATATTCCAGGACATAAATGCCTTTTTTTCCCTGTTACTAAAATAAAAAGCTGCCTTTTTGGTCAAAGGTAAACCAATCCTGTTTTTGTTTCATCATAACATATTATGACTTTCCCAAAAAGTTGCCTGTAAGAGTTCTAGATATTTTTTTTCATGACTAATGGGTTTTTCTCTATCAACTGTATAATTATATATGCACACATTATACTAAATATTCTCAGGTTGAAGATCATTTAATGTAAAAACAGATTTCCATTGTTGAATACTTCCAGCAAGATTAGTTCCCTATGGCTATTCTGCATGTTTGTGTGAACTTTTCTGTGAAAACTTTGCTGATAATTTCATTGACACAAATGTGTTTTCCGTGGTCAAAGACTATATGCAGATAAAGCAGAGACTGCACAGTGTTGGTCAGAGGTTTTTTTTGTTTCATTGATGCTTATGTGACAGAATACTTTATTCATTATCCTGGTAATGAAATTCCCAGTTCCTCTGGGCACTGCTCATGTTCCAAGTTTTGATTAGATTTGTAGATTAACTCTTAAGTACCTATTAGAACAATAGTAATCAAAGGAAAGTTAGGGGCTTTATGCCATGCATTAATGGTGACCATTTTCCCTCTTCCTAACAGTTTGAAAGCAGAATGGCTCTACAGTCAAGGTAAAGGAAGATCATACCGACCTGGGCAGCATGTTCAGCTGGTCCAGTACTTGGCTACTGTTTGTCCTCTTATATCTACATATGGTCTCCAGACTGAAGAGGATGCCAAACTGGAAAAAATACTGAGTAAGCAAAGGTGAGAACTTCTTGTTTCTCTATTGTTAGAGAATGTGATTAAGAACATATTATTATGTTGTCTTATGTGTTAGATATGTTTCCTTTTAAGTATTGCAAAGCAACAGTGAGTGCTGGAGATAGGAAGAGTCATGGAGGTGCAGGATGTGTTCTAGAGGGGAATGAGAGGCAAAACAGCAGCAGGAGTGTTTTCCTGCTTGCTGGGCCACCTAGGTGTGAATTTTCTGTATTTTTCAGTCTATGCTCTGTAGGACATTGAAGGTGATTTGTGTTAGGATTGTGATTAAAATAAACTACCCACTGAGATTTTTTTTGCCACAGAGAAAGTGAGGAAGACCTCAAAAAGGAGCTTAGATTAACTTTTGTTCTAATTGTAAATGAAGAATGTTGTGGTACACTGAATTAGCCACTGTGATACAGTGAATTAGCCACTTTTTTGTTGTTAGCGTGTCCTTTCTTGGCTTTAAAGTTAAGGTTGTCCTTTGAGGTACGCTGTTCCCAGTGATGCACTTGATGATCTCTGTGTCTGGCATCTTGAGTCTGTCAGCAGAGGCCTCTGTAGAGCCTGCTGGTCCTGCCAGGGGTAGCCGGTTTGCTAAGTTCTATGCAAATAGATCAGGAGAGTTACTGTGGTGCACTTTCCTCCCATGAAAAGCTGAACTAATTAGGATTAAAAGCCAGAAAACATTACAATACAGGTATTCCTGTTCCCCAGGACTTACTGACAAACTTTTGTTGCAGAAAGATCAGAGCCTGTTCCTTTGAGCTGAGTCTTCTGCTATGTTAATGGCATAGTGTGGGTAGAAAGTTGGGCAACAAAAGCCATGTGGTAAGCAGAAGGACGGCATCTCATCAAAAGGGATGGAAACCTGGGAGCATCTGGAAGGAGCTACTGCATACTTTATCAGTGTAGATTGATCTGCAGGAGGAAATTACAGAAATGTTAGGGCCATTTCAGAGGAGAAGGTACAATAAAAGCATATTAACGTTGGAATTTCCAGCTAAGTGCTCTGACATTCATGTGATGTTTCTGGGGAAAACATAACTCTTTAAAAATTAAAAAAAAAAAAACCAAACCCAACAAACAAAACAAAACCTCACCAAAAAAAGACCCCACCCATATATATACACACAAACATATATAGATGATTTTTAAGGCAGTTTGACTTTCTGACATCTACTTCATGATCTTTGAATTTAGCTGGGCTGAAACAAACTGTATGTTTTCTCAGTTTGTAAAGGATGATTTTACATTTGTGACAATGTTTGTTGATTTGTATTAGGATTTTGTCCCTTTAGTAACAGGGATACCTTTTCCTTGATTCAGTCATTTTCAAGTGTAAAAGACACTCCCTCCATTCCTCAAACTTCTCTGTGCATACAAACATAATGTATCCTGCAGTAGACACTTAAGATATCTGCAGTCCTTCTTTGTGTGTAGAAATTCTTTATGGTTTTCAGTCTATAGGCAGAATTGCATGTTGGATTTTTTCTTTTTTTTTTTTTTTTGTACATGTAACGAAGAAAAAGAGGCAGGAGGAAGGGGAACGGGAGCAGTCTGTGCAATCCCCTACTTTGTGAGTAGTCCTGTTAGTATCTTGTAGGTGTAGGGGTCTGCAGAACTAGGCTCTTGTTTTAGAATGGTTTGATCACTTTGATTACTTGAAAGTAGTTTATAGTTTCTTTTAGATGTCTTCTGTACCAAAAAAGCTTAAAATAAATATAAAATCTGTTGAACTTTGTGCTTAGGCTCCACCAGAGGCAGTTGATGCATCAAAACCAAAACGAAGGACCACCTACATCTTCTACTCCCAACAAAATGCTACCAGTTACTTATGAACACAGCAGTCCAGCCCAGCCACCACAGATAGTTCTTGAAAGTGGTAAGAAGCTAATCTGCACCTGTGATCTACCCTATGGAAATAAGTAGATATTTTTTTTAACATGTTATCTTTGTGGAGAGAATTTCAGAACAAAGCTCTGTTATTATTTTATTCTATTGATTTATTTTGTTTTGTTTTTTGAGATTTACAATTGAAGCTATACTTTGTTTTCTAGAAATACATTCCATGCTTGTTCATGTCTTGAAATGCTAGTAAGATTGTTAGGTGAAAAGCACAATCCAACAAACTGAAGAGTTACCTGATAAAAGTGTAACTTCTCCAGGAAGGGACAGTTTGTGCAATTTACTGTACCCAGTATTTGCCAAGTTTGTGGATGTTACTGTGATAAGTAGTTACTGTTCTTATTGTTATATAGAAGTAATGCTTATCATTACTGGCATTTTAGATCTTCTTACACACCCAGGTTCTAACTATCTAAACCAAATTGTGAAATAAAAGAAGATATGTTACTGAAATATTATGACACTTTTGAATATGGCTTTCTGCCTATCTAGAACCTATCGTCCAGAAGAATTCTTGGGTTGGACCAAGTGCAAATGATGATCATTCCTATGCAGTAAAGAACACTTTTCTTCTTGAAAGTTTTCGCAAGGAGCTATACCTTGAAGATATACAGACAGATGAAGACAAACTAAACAGCAGCCTTTTATCCTCAGAGTCTACTTTCATGCCAGTTGCTTCAGGATTGTCTCCAGTGTCTCCTACTTCAGACCTGAAGCTACATGGAATCAATTTGGGCCTAGAAGATGATGATACAGTGATTGAATGTGTGAGAGAGATTAATAGCAGAGAAACAGCTAACAAGCAAGAAGCTTCATGTATTACAGGAGAGCACTCCAGCAGAACAGTGGGAAGCATGGAATCTCAAGAGAATATCAAAGAGAGTATGCTGTTGACCTCTGATCCAGTAACAGTGAGCCTGACGGCTAATACTAGCAACTCTTCAGCATCTTCTGAAGACCAAGGTCTGCATAGTCACCCCAGCACCTCAGTAGGTGCTGAATCGGGAGTTACAACTCTCTGTCTTGACCAGAGGGCAGGAGAAAGTTCTGATGCATTAGCTGTTGTTGATCAAGGTGCAGGTGAACTACAAAGAATGACTAAAGCAGCTACCAAGCTTCAAGCCTGCTGGAGAGGATTTTATACAAGGAACTACCATCCCAGGGCCAAGGAAGTGCGGTATGAAATTCGGCTAAAAAGAATGCAGGAGCATATCATTTGCTTAACTGATGAAATAGAAAAGTAAGTTCAGGTCATGCTGCGTATTTTAAAATCTGAATGAATATAACCAGATATAACTGGGTCTTGATATAACTACTTACTGTAGAACCTAGCATCGGTAATAGAAAACTGTGATTACAGTAGAGGATTGCTTCCTTTAAGAAAAGCACAGTCATGCACATCGTTGTTCATACTTTCAAAGTGCCTTCTATGAGTGGGTTGGGTTAGAATAAATTTTTATGTTCCTTGATTAGCAGGACTTGCATGTTTCACTGCATAACCAAAATAGAAATTGCTAAGTGTGATTTTTTTTTTTTCGCTTGTCTCCTAGCAGTTACAGAGTCTGAAAATGAAGCGTCTGTATTTAGAGTCATTCCTCTGTTATTGATTTATTGATGAAAAGAAGGATTCTCTCTCTGTCTTGCATGATACAATTTTAAAATGCAGTTCTGTGCTTGATTCTGGGTTTTTGATCCTATGAATCCACGTTTTGGGGGAGATCATTATCAAAGTCTCTCAATTTGTAAGATATAAATTGCAGAGTTAGTTAATATCTTTCAGGATCAGCCTGGGAACTGGTGGTCTGACAGGCTCTTTTCTGTCACTATCGCAAGTGACAAAAGTTCTGTGAATCAAGTTGAGCCCTCAGTGAACCTCTAGAAATTCTCAATTCTTACACATCTTGCCCGCATCCAAGTGATATCAGCGGGGAGAGCATAATTTGAAATGAAGAAGCACTGTTTTGGGGTTTGCTTTTTTGTGTGTGTGTGTGCAGGAAAAAGAAGCACATCTACTTAAAATGAAGAGCTCAGGTTCAGCTTACAAAAAGACACTTAAAGTATTAGCAAGTCAATAAATGTGCTGCAGCAAAAGGAAGAAGAATCTTTAATGTAACTCTGAAAAAGAAACTTGAAGTCAGCAGCTGGATATTGATGGCAAGCCAGACTGCAGTAATGTCTTAACGTTAGGCTCTGTTGTATCTTTCAAGAGTGCTGTTATATAAATAGGCATTTTTATGTATTCTTGTTGATCTTGTTACCCAAATGTTGCTTATTTAAGCTGCATAAATTTGGATGTGTGTTCTTGCAGACTAAGAAAAGAAAGAGAGGAAGATAAGATTCAGAGGCTTGTACAGGAGGAAGCTGTCAGATTTCTCTGGAACCAGGTAAATAGTTTTAATTCTCTTATTTTCCTGCTTACATATGAATGTGAAAGGCATTATTTCATACTGTAGATCCTGAAGAGGTAGTCAATATGGTTCATTTTTTCCAATGATGAATTAGGGGGCTTATTAGAATCTGATTGCCATCTAGTTTGCTATGCTGGTATTCTGGTGGAAAGTAACATTCAGAAGTATTAGCACAATAACACTGGTATTGTTACCAAAGGCTAAATTATAGGCTGATGCGAGAAGGAGGGCAAAATGCAAGGAAAGCTAAATAAACATAGCAGAAGTGCGAAACATGATGTGACAGCTTGACACCACTTCATTTGCCCTGAGCATCTCGCAGTGTTGCTTGTGAGCAACTCATTTCTAAAGCAGAAAAGCTGTATTAATACATCTTCTAATAAGCTATTCTTCAAAAAAATAAGACTAATTATTTTCTTAAGTGTAAGATAAAGGTTCCCTATCCTTTCTGTTTTCAAGAGCAGGCTCCTTTTTCTTCAGGTATTTGAACTGGGAGGCTTGTGTGCTCTGTCACTGTTGGGCATCTAGGTTTAAAACCCATTATTTAACAGTGGGAAGAACATATTTTCCCTAAAGATATAGCAAACCTTTTGTTAGTTTACTTGGTCTTAAGTTTTATACTAGATTTTTGTTGCAAGAAATACTCTAGAAACCAAAGTACTTTCTTAATTGCATTTCATAATGAAATCCTCTCTATACTTTACAGGTTAAATCCCTTCAACAGTGGCAGCTTTCAGTGACACAAAATGTAGGTGCCACTTGGCAACCTGGGATCCCTTCAGCTGGTACTTTCTGTCCATCCGAGCCATCTACTCGATCATCCGCGCTTGAGCAAGGAGCCCCACCAGCTGTTAGTTCTGCTTGGTTAGTTCCAGCTAGTGATGTTCTTCAGGAAAAGTCTTTGTTGCAGTTCCCAGATTCTGGTTTTCATTCTTCCATGGCTGATCAGACTCATGCCAGTGACTTTTGTAGCTCTGAAAAGAGTTTAACAGAAGGGACTGAGAGCTCTCTTTCAATGGAAACTGTCAAACAATGTGGCCATTCTGTTTCATCGTATTCCTCAGATGTAGAGGATGGCTGTGGGAAATGTGGGCAAAGTAAAGAGAGCTCTAGTAATGAGCAGGACAACGGACTAATACAACAGTATTTGGAATCTGTTCAGCAGCTGGAAGAGGCTGATGAAGGAACACATTGCAATGATGAAACAGACGGTAGCTGGCCACCGATCGCTGTTTCAGCAGAAAGCCAAGGTTCTTCATTTGACACTGTCTCTGTAGACCTCCCTCAAGATACATCTTCCCCTGCCCGCAGTGAAATCAGTCAGGCACCAGAAAGCTGCAAACTGAATTCAGGAATGGTAGAAGGGAAGCAAACGGACTGCGATTCTTCATTTCAGATGCTGCATGTTGGGATAGCTGTGTAGTAGGCTCAGTTTCACAAAGGCCTAGGGATTCCATTTCACTTCCCTTTCTCTTTTTTCCATTTATATAAAACTGATTTTTCATGTGTGCTGTTTTAGACTTTGACTCATGTTATCAATTAATGTTTTAATTGTTATTTTATTGATGTTGCTGAGAACTGACACTAACTATGCTAATTTGAAATAAGCAAAGTTCTCAGTGACAGTCATTATGCACTTTATTTTCAGACATAAACCCGATATCCTAATACCTGGCTTCCATTAAATTAATTCTGAAGATTGGGCATGTTGTTGGGGAGCATGTTTGCTGTAAATTCACTGCAGTGAATGTGTTAGTAAGTCTTTGAATTTTTTTCTAAAAAGCAGGATTGAATTCTTACTTTGCAAAGAGAAGGAAACAATATGGGAAGAAACAGAGTCAATATAGGCAGCGTGTGCGTGTATGGATACAACCTAATGAGAAAGATGAAAGTAGTTGCCTTTCGGACTTCTTCTGACTTTAACAAGAGTAGTTTGATTAGTGTTTCAAAGCTGCATTCCATGAAACCAGTGTCCAAGTCAGTAACTTCTTTTTATCATTTACTTGAAGCTACTGGCTAGGAATTAGGTCATTCACATACACACTGAAACAAGAACTTACAGGATTCAGACCTTAGGGACCTTCAAACAAACTTTGACCTTTGTTTGCCCTGGGTTGAATTTCCCTGCTTTCTCAGGTAAGACTCAAAGTGTAACCAGTAGCAGCCTTTACTAAATAAGAATTTCAAAAGGGCATGTGAAGTTCTTCAGCAGCAAACTTGGTGACATGTGTTTTGCCTCCACAAGGATGCTAATGTCATTTTGGGATTTGGATCTGCATGGCTTTCAAGACATTAGTGCATTTGATGGATCACAGCTACTTCTATCCACAGGTATAAATATTAAAAGCAAATGCCATGACTTAAAATTATTTCTTGATATCTCTCTTGGGTTTTTTGTTTGTTTTTATTTTTTTCTCTGTATGCCTAGTATTTGACATTCTAATTAGATGTGGATAAAAGCTGTATTTCTTCCCTGTTGGCAAATGTGCTAATTTATCTAGGCTGTGCTTTCCACTTAAACACTGGGTAAGCAGTAGGGTTTGTATCTTGCCTAGCTGTTGCCATATTGGTTTTTTTAATGGAAAAACATCAGGTATCTTAGTATACTGCAAACGTTGCAAGGGAAATCTGTTTTGCCATGTAATTTGTGATGGACACTAGTAAAATAAAAGTTGATGTTGTGACTTCTAGGGGTCAGTTCAGTTTGCTAATACTGCATTTTGCAATGTGTACTGGAAGGCCAGTGTTTCAGTAGTTTGTTAGTATTAATTTCTCAAATACAAAGACACATGCATATTATAATTCTGTGTAGCCATAGGTTACCTTCTGGTGCTATGGTGTCATTAAAATCAGCTAGTGCTGTTTTAAAGTGACTCTTATGGCCATATTACCATGTAAAATAATTTAAATTTTGTAAACGCTTTGGTTGCTTGTCTGCTTTTAGGTTCTGAGCTGAAATTTACCACTACTCAGGAGTTTGGCATGAGGCCAGTATCCGCTTGAGGCCTCAAAATAGCCTTTATTTAGGACATAAATGGTGTATTGGCCTTGTACCAGACATCTGCCCAGTGGTGAAGTTCACCTTGGAAGAATAAATCTTGCCGCTGTGTATAGAGTAGCCATCACCTCTTTTTCCTCACCCCCCAAAAAAAAAAGTTCTAGGGCACTAACTTTTCTCCAAAGTGCCGTCATTGCAGTCAAGCTGACATTTGACTGTGCCTTGCATACATGACAGTGTTTAAAAAAAAAAACAACCCAAAAACAAACCAAAAAACAAGGAGGCGGTAGATTCTTAATGTGCTATCTTTCTAACTCAGTCTAGTTACAGCATGTTTGTAGCATAACCATATTCATAATTAGATCTTAGAGCATGAGTGTGCTTGGGTATTGAAAGTGGTACAGGTGTATTAATGTATCACAGCATCTAATTAACTGTGCAAAGAAATGTGTAGTCTATGTGATCATACCCTTGTTGTCTGAAGGTTCTCAACTTGGATTTAAATCTGCCATGCTTGGAGATCTCTGCAGTTCATAGGATTTGGCTCTTTGACAGTCAATCTGTTATAAAAAAAGATCTTGTGTGAACCTTTAAAGAGACTTTCTTTGAGGTTTGAGAGAGAAATGATTTCTGTCTGTGAAACAGTTGTTGGACCATACACTCTGGAGGCAGTGGTTAGGTGTAATAAAACAATAAGTTCTCTTTTGTGGCAGGGTGCTGTATTAGTGTACTTACTGAAGACACCAAGGGATCATATATATTTTGCTATTTTCTATTACTGTCACTTTTACTGCAGAATTAGAGGAGAAACAACTTTAATTTTGGAGGTGTCAAAGGGGGAAAACTTGGTGAAACTTTTTCATGGAAACCCTAGATGTTTCTTGACATTTCCCCTGTTATTAGGGCTTGCAAACAGAAACACAAGGTTACTTATTTTAACTAATGCCTAGCTCAATTGTTGGCTTTTTTTAAACTTGTATATCCAAGAGTGATTTCATGAAGGTACAGCAAAGTGTGTACTGACACATAATCAGCTTTAACTTACTCTTTTGCAGAAGCTGAGAAATATGAAAGACTTTTTTCTGACATTCTGAAAAGTATTGTGCATGTGTAGAAGATGAGTTGCCTAAAGATACAGAAATCACAAAGAATGGTGAAGTTTTGAATTAGTTTTTACAGGGTTAAATGTAATTAGTTTGTATATACACAAAATATTTTCATCCTGACTATTAAAATACATACAGAGAAAGACATAATGGGAGATAGAGTGGAAAAATAACAAATCAAACTGGATGCATACTTAAAAATGGTTTCTTTCAGTCTGTTTGGAGCTTTCAGAGAATCATGATATGAAAATACCATAGTTTAATATATGGCTTAACATTTACTCTTCTTTGTCTGTATAAGTTTTCTTAATCTAGGTATGTAATATTGTTTTCCCCGGATAGGGATGGAGAGCTTCCTTTGGAGATGATGGGAATTTCATAAAGGAATCCAAAAGCCTAATATATGAAAATCCATGTCTGAAATTTTCCTGTATTAATATTTTATGTCTTACAGCATTTTCCTTTTGCAAGGCTTCATATTCACCAGAAGAATGTACTTTGCAGAAGGAAAAGCTTGCCTGTTGTATTTTATCCTGGACTGATCCTCCAGTGTTGATGGAAGAGATTACTAATGGTTATTTGTCAGGGGTTATTTGTCAGGTAATGTTGTCAGCTCTGCTGTGAGTACAGTTTAAGTGCTTCTTTAATTTGCTTTAGCAAAAACAGTTAAATATAGCTCAGACTAACTATTTAAACTATGCCACACAGCTCGTTTTGCCCCAAGGAGATGGTTGGCACATGCAAACCTCTTTCACCCAGTCTCTGGCAGAAATTATTCTTTTCCTGCTTTTCTGAAGATGGGGTACAAGGTGGAAGGTGGGAATGCATTTATCTGTGTTTTCAGGTTTGGTCTGTGATAGCAATCAGAAAAGAGTTGGTGTTACCACTTCCATTTTCTTCCAATTGTTTCTATAGTTTACACGTTTCAATCTTTCATGTACTCAAGAATGTAATTTTTCTACTGCGTGTAATATTTGATAGACACTGTTCTAGATGGTATTTCGAAAGGGAGAATATCCTGAAAGCAGTCCTGTTCATATTTTATATTTCAAGGGGTTTTTTTAAGATACTTGGGTTGCGTTGATTTCTCTCTGTTAGATAACTTCTTTACAAAAGAAAACCACAAGGCAATGCCTCATTAATGAAAGTAAGTACACTTCTCTTTCTGCCACCTTCTATGAACTGACCTTAATGGTCACAACTCTCTTTTTAGTACGTAAAGCTGTAACTTAAATGAATGGCAGGTTTAGCTGCTGAGTGAAAGCAGCAACTCTGATGTGGGGGGTTTTGTGGTGACTATTTTTGTGTGGTGCTATTTTGTAAAAAAGGACGTGTTGCAACGATGGAATTTTTAAAATGTACTGAACATTGGCCTCACTCTGCTTTCCCTTCCTTAAAAGAAGCAGGGTCATGCTTAAGTTGAGTCCTTGTGAACTGGCTGTCTAAATTGGGATTTTATCGTATTTACACCTCCAGAAGTGTTCTTATTACCACAAAGCGAGAAGGCATTAAGACAGCAAATTTTATTTTGTTGCTTCTAAAACACAGATATCTTTCAGCAAATACTTGAGAAAATCTTTGTTAAACTAAATTGCAGAAGCTTAACCATTTGTTTATAGTAAAGTTCCTTAAATGACCATAGATTCTACTATTTGCATGCAGCAAATTAAATAATGCACTTAGCAGCCAGTCTATCTGTATATAAAAACCAAGTTTGGTTCTTTTTCTGAATAATGTTGTATGTCATTGAGCTTGCAAATTGTTTCTGGTTTTTATGGATTTGTATATATTGTTTGAAGAACTCTAATCTTAATTTCTACTTGTAGTAGGTTGTTTGATGAACAAAAATGGAAGATAAATTCCTTTGAGACTACCTGGGTACTTTTTACTGGACTTGAAGTTAGTGTGTCTCGTACAGATACACTTTTTCCTGAGAGGATAGAAATGTAGCATTTAGTGGGGACTGACTGTATGACAATAAGAACTGGTCAGTTCCCCTGCTTTTAGCTACTGGAAAAGAGACTTTTTTCTGTTGTATTAACTTTTTTTTTTTTCCCCTTGAGGACTGTGCCACCCAAATAAGTAAGCATCAAGTACGCATGAAGTCTTTCAAAAAGTTTTCTTTCCTAGTTACTGTTTGTTGGTTTTTTCCCCTCCAGTTTGGCTTTCTGGGACAAGTTACTGAAAGACACTTGCTTTCTATATGTCTGCTAAACAGTTGGGACTTTCTGTCTATTTTTAAATGCTTTCTTTATGTCAGCGATGCAAAAAGCACAGGATCCTTTTCTTGCAAAAGCATAAACCAGTATTTATCAGGAA